GCATTCCTGGGAGCGCCGGGAGAATGCCGGACGGGTCACGGCTCAGCGCCACGGAGGGCTCTGAGCGGGGACACGGCTCGACACGGGGGCACACGAGACAAAAAAGAAGGCTTACTTTGGAGAGGCGCTTGTGTGACTTAATCGGAGAGAAAGCATGCAGGAATGAAAAGAGAGAAATTAAGGAAAAAGAAATGGCCTCAGAAATCGAGAGGAGGAGAACACCCAACCCCACCGAAAGCACTATATCCCTCTAGAGCTTCCTTATGGCAAGCTCCAAGAATTAATGTCCGGCTTCAGCAGTCCCAACCTTGAATCACAGCGCTTCATGCCGCGGTGATGCCCGTCACCCCTGTGGCCAAGCGTCCCCCCGTGCAGCCGCGACGCGCTCCGTGCCCTGCCTGCCTCCCATCCGCACGGCCTTCCCCGGGCACGGGACGAGCCCGGCGGCTCCGGGACGCGGCAGCGCCCGTGTCTGTACATCCCTGCGCGCGGGGGCACGGCTGCCCTCGAGCTGAGAGGTGCCCAGCAGCCACGGGGAAACGCTCTGCCCCTCTGCGGAACACGCGCGCACTCGTGCCCTTCAGGGGGGACCGCGAACGCAGCCCCCGTGCCCCACGAACCCCGTTTCCTCTGCTGACACTGACGACAAATGGGGTGAGGACAGGGGCTCCTACGTGCACGGTACTACCCACCAAGAAACTGGGCAGAGGATCCACCAACTCACTTCACACGAGCCATTAAAGTAAGGCTGTGTAATCACCTATGACACAGGGAATTTGTTCAGACTGAAACACTTCGCTATGCAAAGCTGGAAAGCCACAAATGTCAAAGTCACAGAGCCTCCTAAGGACACAGGGCCTTGACTCCCAATCGTTCCGCCTACAGAGTCCTTCAGAGAGCTGCAGCACAAGCCACGAGCAGCTCAGGAAGTGAAGTCACCACGAGGGTGACAGAGCCGTCTTAAAGCCTGACCTACTCGAACAGCTCCCGGTTCGCAGAGACTCCCGCAGCGCGAGGGGGAAGCAGGAGGGCAGCTGGAGTAAGAAAGGCACAGGGCAAAGGCAGGGCACAGCACCAGCTGCGCAGAGCAGGGCAGACGCGCACGCTGCCGGTCCAGCCGCTCGCTCAGCTCACCTTGGAGTTCTTGGCCCCGCTGCGGCCCGACTGAGAGGAACAGCTCCGCTGGACACCCTGCTCCGGCGTGGAAGGGGATTTGTCCGACGAGTGGTCTGAGCCCTTCTCCACCATGGCGTCTCCCTGGGAGTCCTGAGGCGTCGGGGAGCGGGAGCGCTTGCGCAGGATCGGCGAGCAGGCGGGCGTGCTGCGGTTGGAGTTACTGGCAGTGCTGCGGAAAGAGGGAGCAGAGCCTGTAAGGCGCAGCCGGGCCGCGGAGGAGCTGCCCGCGGCCTCGGGCGCAGCGGGGCCGGGGCCTGTGCCCCAGCACCCCGGCCAAACCCGCCTCCCGCGAGCAGCGCAGCCCCTGCCACAGACACACAGCATCTGCTGCGGGCAAAGATGACTTGAGCTGCGTGTCACTGTCTTTCTCCACCCACTCGTCATCGATCTGCCCACGGAGAAACCCAGGACAGAACAGGCTCCTGCTCTCCTGGAGGCTCTGAGAGTTTAAAAGCACAAGATGAGCTTAGGAAAGCCCAACGTGGGCTCCGGAGTGAGGGAAGTCCACAGGTACGCGGAGCTCTGTGCGCATGCAGAACTGCACTGCGCCGTGCCTGTGGGTCCCTCCCCCAGCATTGGGTTGGAAACAAAAGAAAAACTGCACAGAAGCAGACCTGGGCAGCAGCACTGTTTGCGATAGATGAGGTACAGCATGAAGTGAAATTCGGTGAAATTATCAGGGGCTTTTTGGCCTACTGAAATATGCAAAAGGACCAGGTTTCTCACAGATTTTCAAATGATGCAGCTGAAGTGGCTATTTCACTTCTTTTTCTCCTCCCTGTTGCATTTCCCGGTTAGGTTCGAGATACACAAACTCTTTCAGCAATCCAGCGCAGTGCCCCTCACCGGCTGAGCTGCGGCTAGGAGCACCAAGCACAACCAGCCACTGCACACACACGTGCTGGGGAAACGGTGCTAAAACTGCAACCTTATCCAACCTGCTTCCAGAACTCACAAGGACTTGGAATAGCACTCCTGTGATGATTAAGAGCTGCACTGCTGCTGTCCATGCTGTGCAAGAGTCCATGCAGCACCCCGTTTCCTCAATCTTGCTGCGCACGCTTGGTTCCACACAAATCCATCGCTTTGAGAGGTCCCAGAAACGCAAGGCAGGAGCTTGAGGCCAGTACAACGCGGCTTCGGTCCAGTTCCTTCTCAGGGGCTCTGCGAACCCCGAGGTTTCCGCACACCAGTGCCTCATTCGCAGTCACGTGAATTCACGCTCACAAGTTTCACTCCGAGTTTCACCCTCAAGCAGCTCGGAATAACCGTGGCCAAGCATCAGCAAGGCTCCCGCCTGCCCTCAGCTCAGGGGCCGGAGCAGCCCCGGGTTCCGCCGGCGCTGGGGCGGGCGCCGGGCACGTGCAGGGAAAAAAAGGCGGCCTGACCCACTTCGAACGTCCGAACAGCAGCAGTGAACGCTGCTGAACGCGGGCGGGCAAGACAAGCCCACCTAGGGCGCACCTAGGGGATGGCGGCAGGAGGAGCGGCGCGTGGAGGCACAACGCAGGGCTCCACAACTGCGCTGCACAAGGAATGCTGGGCACCAGGGCCCGCGTCAGCCACGGACCCGAGCGTTTCCTCGTGCTCTCCGCACGGGACGCCGTGCGTGCCGTGTCTCACCTGCGCTTCCCGAGCTCCGAGGCAGTGACGGAGGAGCCTTGCAGGGATACAACCAGGGGCTGCTTGCAAGGGCTTGCACAGAGCAGCAAAGGCTGCAGAGGCCAAGAAGGCGCCTCGAGCTGCCTGTAGCACAGGAAGAGTTAATTCTGCTCAGAAGCAGTGAGCAAGGGGGTGAATTAGACGCCCACAAAGATACTTCTCTGTGATACAGTCTGACATCACCGGGAGAAGAGGAGATTCACAGACTCATTATGCAGTCTACCAAGCAGCAAGCAGATGGGACCGACTTCTGATCATCGCCAACCTACACTCGCTTCGAATCCACAGCACCCGGAGGTTGTGGAAACCTCCCTGCACCCTCAGCCCGCTCCGCTGCCCAAAGCACCAGCACCGGGCAAGCCTCGCATTCACTGCCCAGGAAAGGGAAAAAAAGAAAGCGTTAAATTTAAAAACAGGAAGACACGTAGGGCTGCGCAGAAATTGGGCAGTATTTCATGACAGTGGCCTGAAAAATGTACCAGAGAATAGTAACCTTTCTGTACGTTTTTCTAAACAGCCATTCAGTTTTTAACTCGGCCAAGAACTGCTCTGATCATTAGGAGGTTTCACAGAAAGGTGCTCCTCTTCTATGAAATTCAATAGCACATTTACATATTCATGAGATGAAATTAATAAAATGACTGTGCTCCAGGGGATTAGCAAATCACTGCAAGCGCTAGGAAGGAATCTGCCTTCTACTCGCACAGGGCCCTGCGAGGCTGGTCAGATGCACTATTGATCGTGTCGCTGTGCTCTCCACCGGAGAGGACATCGGCTCGGAGGGACACAAGAGGTGACACCTCACGTGAGGTCCTGCGCTGTGCTGGAACAACGGCCCCACAACCAGCAGCTCTTGAGGATGGGCTGCAGCTCCAGCCCACAGCTTGGCTATGCAGAACCCTGCAACTCGCGGTGCAGGGATGCCAGCCTTCCTCCTCCCTCCCGCTGCAGCCTCGGCGGCGCTGAGGGCATCCCGGGACTGTATCTGTAGCTGCAGGTAGTGTCCTCAAACACAGCTTGGGGCAGGGCTTTTATAACCTACAGATTAAATGTCTAATGAAGCCTCGCAGCACGCCTGACAAGTGACAAGGCGGGGGTGGATGGGGATATTGTGTATCTCGGGCCTGGAAGATGGAGCTAGAGCTTTACATCTTCCCCCTCGCTACCTGCCTGCCGCTCGTCAGCATCAGCTTTCACAGGTAATGAAGGGTGTCATGCTTAGAGCTGGGCTCAGACCGCTTGCTTCTGCTCAGCCCTTTATGCTCCATCACTTTAGCATTCAGAAAACAACAAGGCACCATGTTCTCCCTTCCAGCTCTCTGGTTTTCGGGGACATGAGCCGGTGGGAGCTTCCCTTGGCAAAAGCCTGGGCACCCTAAGGCATGTCACCGATGGAAAATACGTTCCTGAGACCTGGCGTAAAGCTTCCTTGCACCCTTCCAAGCCCAAAGCTGCACTGTAGATCGACCAGCTTCCAAAGGAGTGTTCCTGAAGATGCATTTCACTCACAAAGCAGAGACACTAACACGCTGTCTCTGAGCAACGCAGTGATTTCCACAATGGGCAGGGCAATGCTCGCCACCAGCAACCTAAGAAAAACACTTTTTTTTTAGGGAATGGAGGCTCATCCGATCCTCCCTGCCGGAAAACACACACAATGCAGCGAGCCTCCCCCTCCGAGGGCGAACCCCTGCCCCAAAGAGCGCGCAAACCAGCCCACCTGCACCGCTCTGCACGCTGGCCTGCTGACGAGACACAAAGCAACCCGCGAGCTCCCCACGACAGCAAGTACACGGACGCAGAGAGGGACGCCAAGCGGAGCCGGACAGCGGGCACGGCCCGGGCCCTGCCGCGAGGCGGGGAGCACATGGGCAAACAAACCCGGTGTCCTGCAGCGGCTCCCCCTCCGCTGCCTCCACGTACCCCGCGGTGGGGAGGGAAACAACGGGCGCAGGGGAACGGGAGGCGTAAGGGGAAAGGAGGAGGGCAGGGGGCGCGAGCTGCACACAACAACAGTCGCATTCGCTCGGCTGTTGTCTGCAACAATCACAAAGGTCCCCGCGGCGGAGGCAGGGCGCGTGCCGGGGAGAACAAGGGGAAAAAGCCCTGGGCTCGGCGGAACGAGCCCAAGCATCCCCGCAGCGTGATGTCACGGCGCCGCGTCCGAGCCCCCGAAGCGAAAGCAGCAGCAGCGCAGCCAACATGGACTCCGGATTTAATCTGCCTCGCGAGCGCGTGGCTCGGACCGTAGCCCGTGCCGGGCAAGCGGTGCGGCGCAGGGC